ACACACACACACACACACACACACACAAACACACATGCTTGTATGCTCTCACACACATTCAGTTTTTTGTTTTTAATATATTTGTTCTTAAATTAGCATATAGAGAACTGCTTTAACCAAGTATCATACATTTAATTACATTCAAAACTCAAGAATTCTCTTATATCTCTAATATCCTCCTTGATTGGGTCCCACTTTCCCTATCTACTCTGTGGTAATTTATCACCTTCCAACTGAGAAGTTACTTATTGACCCCTGACTTCACCATGGATCAACTAGCAGTTTTTAAACTCATTTTTATCATGATGGACACAGCTTTATGTACTATGTAAAATATTCAAATTTTCTTTTGGTTGTACAATAAAATATTACTCAGTGAAACAAAGTATCAATGCACAAACTTCACAGGGAAATATTGCCAATATTACTCTGAATGCAAGAAGCCAGGGGTAAATCCTTGTTCTTAGACTCAAGGAAAGGCAAAGTTAATCATCTAGTAAAATAATGTTAAAGTACTTGAATAGTGCTGAGAAAATTAAGAGGAAGAGGTATATTCAACCAAGTCAAGACTGGAAGTTCCCAAAGAAAGTGTTGCCTCTCACAAGCTGGTAAAACTCTTGACCTTTGTCTCACATTTGCATTGGTTCATGAACCAAATATGTATTTTCAGCAAACTTCCACTGACTGTCCAATATGAACCTGCTGGATTTGATGGACGAGAGAGTTAACTTTTGTTTTACTGCTAGTGTGTCTCCTTTGAATTTTGTACGATCATTTCCATTTCTCCCACAGTCCTGTGATTTCTAGCTACTTTGCATAATTATAATGACAACCTCATAACTCTAGGAAATTTTTATTCATTACCCTAGTGTCTTCTTGAGACAGACTAGCATGATCTATTTTTTTCTTGTAGGATATTATCAAGCATATGGCTTATTAACTATAAACAGAGAATAGAAATAACAAGAATGTATATATAAATGGCTACAATTTGGTGCATGCAGAGCTTTATTCTTTCACTTCATGAAGAAGTAAATAGGTAGTGGTTGACCACTGGCCCCTTGTACTTGAGGAATCCAATGCATAGGGACCAAATAGGTATAGTCTAGAATTCCATGAGGTACCCTTAGTATAGCTGGGATTTGAGAAGTGTGGTCAGGGAATATACCTATAGTCATAAAGTACTGTCAGCATGTGTGTAACCTGCTGGATAAAAACAATGAGTACAGAGGGATTGCAGGGTAAGAGGCCAGAAAGAGTGACCAAGATGTACAACACACAAAGAATGACATTCTATATGTCTGCCTCAGCAAGAATAACTTGAGAACTCATAGTGATGCTACAAAATGGCAAATCCATTTTTCAATTTAGATATAAGTTGTTCGAATGGAGAAGTAAAAATAAAACCACAAATAAATAGAATTACAGGCGAAATGATCATAGTGGTCACAGTTTATAGTATCAAAGTGAAAAATAGACACTGTCTCTACTGAAGTAGAGATGTCTTCAACTGGCACACTGTCGCCCACATCAGGAAGCACACATGTTTGATGTTATTGTGTTCCCCTTGCAATTTCCTAAGATCACTGCTCTCAGTAACGTTGAGATGTCTATCCATGCCAATTTACACAAAGGCTATGGGTTTTAGGCTCAATTTTAGTTAAGCAAAATCTTTAAGATACAACGTCTCATTAGTTTGCTGGGTATGTTATGGTGTTTTCTGTAAAGTCTCTTTAAAAAGTTATGGAAGTTTTATGAGGACTAAATATACTTATTCTATTCATAAAATATGTTACAAGTCATATTTCAGACCCCATGGTAGTGCATTTGAGGGGAAACGTTAATTCACACATACCACACAGAGCACTAGTCTAAATCTTCAGGCTAATGAGTTACACGCGTCAATGGTTTAAAACTCTTTCTCTAAGTTTACTGACTTTTAAATGCCAAGTAGTGACAAAGTCTGCTGAAGATCGACTTTGGGATCCTGTCTGAATGCAGCACGCACTTTACTGGTTGAGTCTCTTAGGAGGGTGATGACATAATTCATTGCTACAGCACCCGCCAAACATGCACCCAGCCCCAGATTGCTTTTAACACCACCCCACAAAAGGAAAACAAAATCATCCAATGAGAGAAACTGGTAAAATGTAGCCACCACAGCAGCCAACTGTGGTCTACTCTTAATTTTACTGTTTGCAAGACAAGAAAGGACAGGTTATGCATTTCATAAGTTGCTGTTAAAGTGCAAAGAGCATAAGACAGAGAAATGTGCCGAACACTAAACCTAGAACACATATTATATGGCACTTTATGGAAATGTTTGCTTCTCATCTTGGATTATCTGAATTACCATGTGAGCGATAGGAATAATTAGTGTACATGGAAAATTTTTTTATTATTAAAAAAACTTCAGTGCTATTGATTAGTTTAAAGTTAATCTTGTGAGGGACTTACAATGTAGCTGAAAAATTATCTTTTCTCTGTGTTTGTGCAATTGATAGGGTTGTCAGTCTAAGAGTAACAGCAAAATTAAGTATTGCATTATGTTGCTAGTTACTGATTATAAAGCACTGTGAGTTACATGACTGCTGTGTTAACCAAAATAATAATAGTAAAAATAGCCTACCCTGTGCAAACATACAAATCACAGCCAACAGAAGAAAAGCAATAGCAGTAGCATACAACCAACAGGTTGCTGTAAATTGATTTTTTTATTTTAGTCTTTACTGATAAATTTGGCTGGTGTTTTCGAGCCTCTGGAAAGCTCTTATTATTATATAGTATCTGTTCAGATGAAGGTTGAATTTTAAATGGCATTATTTTATAGGTTAAAGCTTTAAGCTTTTTTCAATGTTTGAAGCAGACTTCCAAATCTTAATATTTTTGTAAAAAAATTTGTCTGTGTCTTATTTCTTCCTTTTTTTATAGTTATGTGAAAAACTGCAATCAGAGAAAGAATGAAATTATCTTAGAGCAACTTTCCAAGGCCAATGGCAGTTTAATTACAAAGCAGTACAAGCTCTGATGGGCAGTCTACATTTTAGTCAACAAGGCCATTCAGACTTAAATTGCTTATAACAAAATGATGGAGGTGATATTGGTACCAATGGTCACAATAGAAGCATATTTGTTAAAAAAAATGAGTCAAAAGAGAAAATATTGATCATGTCAACAATTTGTGGAAACAAAAATGAAAAGTAAAATACACAAGTAAAATGGATCATCTGGAGGACAAGACAGATATCAATTCAATAATGGCAGTGAGGGAGACAGAAAGTCTCAATAAGACTTTCAATTTTTGTATTCAAGTGTATAATATCAAAATAAAATGTATTGTGCCTAAGTAGAAAATGCATTTATTTCTATCTGAAAATATAATTTTCAAATAAAGTAAATAGATGGACTTCGCCCTCGTTTCCCTTGCCTCGGAGTTAAACATCCAGTTATCACATTTCATCTCTGTGAGTCCAAACGTTGACCAGAGAAAATAGAATACTTAGAAAAATTAGTTTTCTGTAGGGCACAACAATGCAGAACGTACAAAATCTCTAAATAACAACGTATTATATAAATATTGGGTTATTTTGTTAAATTCTTGGCTTCACTTCTCTCTGTATTTTACATTTTAAAAATACTACTATATTGAGATATATTTACCACTTTGGATGGTTTACAACATGAATGGGAAGGCCTGCCTACCCCTCTCTGCGGTGATTAAAATTTCAGGTTTCTGTGTGTGCAAATGTGTGTGTCTCTGGTGCTTTTTCTTTGGCTCTTTTTTTTTTTTCCTGTTATTTTGTTTTGTCCTACTCTGATTTGTTTTTATTTAATTTTATTATTTGTTTAGATGCCTGTTTATTTTTTAATAGAGGCAAGAAAGAAAGGATATGGATTGCGCTGTGTGAGGAGGTGGGAAGGAGCTGGAAGCAGTTGTGGGAAGAGAAACCATAGTCTGAATGTATTGTATGAAAAAAACCAATCGCTTTTCAACAAAAAGAAGAAAGAAAAAACAAAACTTCAGTTAGGATCATGTCTTAAATCTCAAAGCATGCTTGGATTTGAAGAGAAGTGCTGAGTGTTATATTGTAGTGAATCATTATATTGATTAACCTTTAGGAAATGCTACACTACCCTTTGGTGAGCTGGACACCCTACACTTCTCAAATTTTCCAGCAGATGGTGAACTCCTAAATTCAGTATCGGTAGACCTTCATTCTCCATGCTTTCAGACATATTTGTGTTACCCAATACTCTTCCAGTTGTTTAGCAAAGAAACTGAAGGGTATCCCAAATAACCAAACCACCCAAGGGCTACTCTTAGGGGTTTCTGGCTTTCCCAGATGTAGACTGTCACCACAGATGCACCTGGTTCTCCTATCCCTGACAGCTGTCATATGAAATGACAATAAAGCCTACAGTAGCTCTTTGGGAAGATATTTTTGTGTATAAAGAGATATCTGGTTATTCTGGCCAATTTTTCACTTAAAATAGTATTTTTTTTTTGCTTTTCTTTCCCCCACAAATGTAAAAGTGTGTGTTGCATGTGCATGTCTGTATATGTGAGGTCACATGTGTGTACATGTGTTGAAGCCCCACATAGATTCTTGGTCTCTTTGTCCATTACTTTCCACTTTATTTCCTGTGGCAGGTTCTCACAGGACTAGGAGTTTGCCTCTTCTACTAGTCAAGCTAGCTAGCTTGCCCTGAGGATCCTATCTCTCTGGAGTGCTGCGATTCCTGTAGGCCCCCACATCTGCTAACTTTTGCAAGAGTTCTAGGACCCAATCTTCAATCCTCAGCTTGCATGGCAAGTGTTTTACCTATGTAGTTATCTCCCCAAAGCACCGAAACAGTGAATTTTTAAAAGAAAGAAACAAAAAACCTTATTTTCATTTTGTTTCTGATGTGAGAAAATGAAACTTCATCACTGGAGAAGAAAATATACCTTTGCCACGGTGGTGTTCTTCATGGGTTCTAAAATGCATTTCTCTTTGCAGGCTTTTCCTGGAAATGTCAATTCTGATAGTGTGGTCCGGCATGACCTGCAGCATGCCATTGTTGCCCGTTATGTCCGCATCGTACCCCTCGACTGGAATGGAGAAGGCCACATAGGACTGCGTGCAGAAGTCTACGGCTGCTCTTACTGTGAGTGCCAAGTGTCAAGTTTACAATCGTGTCATGGGCCAACTTTGTTGAAATAGCAAACCTTTTTTTTTTAAGTTGCTTACACTCTTTAAAAATGAGCTCTCTCTGGGGGAGCAGGAGATCCCAGCTGGATCAACAACAGAGAGGGAGAACAAGGAATAGGAGACCATGATAAATGAAGACCACATGAGAATAGGAAGAAGCAAAGTGCTAGAGAGGCCCACAGAAATCCACAAAGATACCCCCACAACAGACTGCTGGCAATGGTCGAGAGACAGCCTGAACTGACCTAATCTGGTGATGGGATGGCCAAACACCCTAACTGACGTGCTAGAAACCCCATCCAAAGACTGAGGGATCTGGATGCAGAGATCCATGGCTAGGCCCCGGGTGGAGCTCTGGGAGTCCAATTAGCGAGAAAGAGGAGGGTTTATATGAGGGAGAATTGTTGAGACCAAGGTTGGATAAAGCACAGAGACAAATAGCCAAACGAATGGAAACACATGAACTATGAACCAATGGCTGAGGGGTCCCCAACTGGATCAGGCCCTCTGAATGGGTGAGACAGTTGATTGGCTTGATCTGTTTGGGAGGCATCCAGGCAGTGGGACCAGGTCCTGTGCTCATTGCATGAGTTGGCTGTTTGAAACCTGGGGCCTATGCAGGGTCGCTTGGCTTGGCCTGCGAGTAGGGGACTGGACCTGCCTGAATGGAGTCTACCAGGTTGATCTCAGTCTGCAGGGGAGCTTTGCCCTGGAGGAGGTGGGAATGGGGGGTGGGCTGGGGTTAAGGTGAGGGGGGCAGGAGGGGGGAGAACAAGGGAATCCGCGGCTGATATGCAGAACTGAATTGTATTGCCAAATAAAAAAAAATAATAAAAAAATGAGCTTTCTCTCTCTCTCTCTCTCTCTCTCTCTCTCTCTCTCTCTCTCTCTCTCTCTCTCTCTCTCTCTCTCTCTCTCGCTCTCTCTCTCTCTCACACACACACACACACACACACACACACACACACACACACACACACACACCTGCATGTATATAGACTGGGTTGTTGTCCCTATTTTTAAGATATAAATTTATAACATTTATTTAAAATATACGTTAACTGAGTGCTGGCGAGCCAAGCCTTCACCAAGTCCCGAGTTCTGTTCTCAGCACCTCATGTCTAGATGTGGTGGTTGATGACTATAATCAGAGCACGAGGCACTTAGAGGTAGGAAAACCGAAGTTTAAAGTCATCCTCAGTTGCGTGGTTAGGTTGCGACCATCATGATCTGAGATGAATAAGACCTTGTGTCAAAAAAAGTTATTTTAAAAAGAGTGCATTAAGTGACGGAGGTAGAGGGTGATTTTGCTCACTACACTGAAGTAGTGAGAACTCACACGTGACCTACCCACCATCCACCCTTCTGGCTTTGGATGAAGGGCTTAGATCAATTTTGAAGGCTTCCTTTGGCTCACTTTGGCTCTCTTTAGAAGTCAACAACTGGAATTTTTAAGGTTTTTAAATTTTTATTTATTTATGTGTATAAGCATGTGTGTGTCCAGGTTATGTATGTAGTCAGAGGACAACTATTTGAAGTCGGTGCTTTCCTTCTGTCATATGGTCATGAAGATCTTAGATCATCAGGCTTGGTGGCAAGGGCCTTTACCTGCTGAGCCAGCCTGCTGGCCTCCACCACTGGGTAGTGATGTCACTTGTATTTTACATTTTCGTAAGTTTAATTTTACATTAAAAGTTTCCTTTTAATTTAATTGTGCTTTCATCCCCCTCTTTAAAAAGTGCTTAACTATGTCACACCTAAATCTAATGGCTCCAGCATGGGGTTTTGGGGAGTGGAAGGCTGCTCTCTGTTTTTTTCTGCTTGCCACCCTTGTCCAAGGTTTTCAGCAGGAGTGTCAGTAGGTGCCTAAAAGTGCAGCAATGTTGAATCCTAAATACAGTGCTGTTTACTATGCACACATATCTGTGATAAAGCTTTATTTATAAATTAGGTATGGTAAGGGATTTTCAATACTAATCAAACAGAACAATAAACAATATGCTGTAATTAAAGATGTTTAAACTTCAGAAGTTTTGTTTTCATTTCTGTAATTTAATATTGAATATTTTGGGAAGTAGTTGACCATGGGGCACTAAATCTGTAGAAATCAAAAATCAGATAAAAGATAGGAGACTAATATATTTCTCTATCTCTTCTGCCCTCTTCTCTTCCTTTCCTATCTTTCTCCATTGCCTCCTCTTTACCTTTCCTCTGGGCCTTCTTATCTATCTGTATTTGTATTTACATCTTCTGCCTACATAAGACCTCAACCACATCAAAACTCTATCTGTAGAAGTTCCTTCGGGTCAAACTTGATGATGGATTCTTTTAAAGAAGATATGTCCTCACTTATTTTCTTTGTGAATTCATGCCAACACAAAGTCACTTTAAAGATTGCTACATTTTTGAAGCTGCTAGATAATATAAATTCTATCTGCAAACACTGGCTTCATAACATTAAATCTCCAGTATTATATTTTCCTGTCATCCCAGGAAATGTTTTTCCTATTCTGCCAATTGCACAGAGGAGGGAAAATGTTGGGAATGGACAGGGAGGGGAATGAGTTTTCTGCAAGAAACAGCCCATTAAACTTTCCCCTATCATTTCTTACAGATCCATAAACATAAATAGTCACTATAACCATAAAGTGCAAACTTCCTTTTTTGAGAAGGCTTCTTAAAATTAATGGAACACTTAATATTTTATAATAAAGAATATGTAAAGCTTTCATGTCTGTGAGGATTTAGTTGCAAAGACTCTTGCAAGCTGTAGCTGTGGAGATAATGAAATAATATCTTAGTTCACAGACAAATTCTTAAGAATGCAAGAAAGTGGCCATGGGAATTATCTAAATGTTCATACATTAATTTTATTTGATCATCATATTATACACACACACACACACACACACACACACATATATATATATATATATATATATATATATGTTCCATATATAATATAAAGAAAGATAGATTTAGCTTATTGGAAGTATGTAGCATTTCAAGGAGATGAGTTAGATCTTTGGGAGAAGCCCACACAGAACCTCAACATAAATTAAGGTCCTTCCCACTATGTGTTATGGTGTTCAGGGACACAGGAGACAGAGCATCATCCAACTGGTTTATTTTATTAAAATCTTTGTTAGAAATAGCCATATTTTTGAAATATTAATTCTTTACTCTTATTCTATTATATAAACAAATATGCAAATGGATAAACATTGCGTTGTGCTTAGTGTTTTTGTTATTTGTTTGTTTTAGAGTGGCTGTTAGTGTTTCTGATGGTGTAGATATAGAAAGTTGTGGAACTCTGCCCTCTAGGTGTGAAATGGCTCTTACTATCTTGACTTCTAAACAGATATAATTACCTGTATGAGACCCTCCCAAGATTTCTTCCACTTGTATTCCTGTTGAAAGTGGGAGATAAAGTAGGCAGTACTTTTGTGCATTGGGCTTTTCTACTCCAGAGTATACACAAGCTATTAGCATGGGCTGTGGGAGAGAGAGAGAAAGAGAGAGAGAGAGAGACCCTTCTTCATTGCTGTTTCTGCCTTTAAGTTGATCATATTATACTCAGTTAAATTCATGAGTTCTCCAAGTTAGACTTGGGTAGAGTTATCATTTTAGTATGTCCTCATTTCCTTATCTGTTGTGAAGAGATGCTTACTCATACCTCCTCAGTAAAGAACATACAATAGAGGGCATGGTATCATACTGATGTGTATAGTGTGTGTGTGTGTGTGTGTGTGTGTGTGTGTGTGTGTGTGTGTATGTATGTGTGTGTGTGCTCAACTTTGGGCAAAAAAACTAAAGTATTTATAAAGTGGTTTATATTTACATCTTCACAAGCTCTGTGAGAATTGCTATTTCTCTACAAATCCAGGCTTTTTTAAATTAATTTTAAATTCTTAGTACATGTTCATAATATCTCATTTAGTTTTGATGATGATTTTCCTGATATTTTAGAGAGGTTAGTACTGTGGACCACCACTGTTGCCTTTATTTTATTTTGAAGTGTTTATTAAAAAATGTGCTCATACTTCTGGGTGCAGCCCTTATTTATGTATGTATGTATGTATGAATGTATGTATGTATGTATGTATGTGTGTATGTTTTTATTTATTTATTTAAAAAGTCATTTAAAACAATTTTTCTCTCTCATTTGCTCTCTCTCTCTCTCTGTCTCCCATACAGCTTTCATTATGATCTCTAGACATATCCCATTTTTAATATGTTTTTCTTTAGAAGTAATCATTTTAAACTATGTATTATAAATGAGGTCATTTAAGAATCCACAGTGAAAGACTCTTCTCAGTCGCAGCTTAAATATGACAACACGTTCGACGAGTGTAGCAAGTCGAATTGTAAGATATAGAGTTGGGTTCCTCTGGGGATTTTCTGTCACAACTGGGCTTTGACAATCACAAGACAGGAAGAAGAAATAGCTGAAGCAAAACAGGAGGCCAGACTTTCCTAGGAGAAGCCTTCCATGGAGCAAACATAATGAATGTTAACATTTATGCCAATAGATATCAGTGCGGTATACGATAAGTGGAAACATAAAATTAAATAAATACAAATTAAAAAATAGCATTATAATTATTTGTTCAGTGGCCCTTAAAGGCATTAGAACCTGATTCTTAGATCCCAAAAGAAATTTGCAGATGGGATAAACAGTCTTGGCATAAGGAATGTAGCATGTGTTATCCAGGTGAACACTCCCTTTCCTTAGGTTACTCTCATCACCTTTAAGAAAGCTCAGGTGAGGGAGATTACACAGGCAGAGGCAGAGGAAGCCCTGTGGCCCCTGAGGCCAGAATGAGAGTGAGGTGGTTGCCTATCAAGGAATGCTGCAAAGATCAAAAGCTGCAAAAAAAAAAAAAAAAAAAGCTACCAGCTCAACTCCTTCCACGGAGTGTGGCCTTGCCCACACCTTGATTTCATCCCCCAAGA